CCCCCCCCCCCTCCCGGTCGGTCGCTCGGTCGGTCGCTCGGTCGACCGCGCTTAAAGAGATAGCCTCCAAGTCCGGGTGGCTGCGGACGTGCTGCTCCAACAGCGCCTTGGTGGGGAACGACTCGGAGCAGTCCTCGCACCAGTAGTTCTTGGTCTTCTTGGCGTGGTGCGTGCGCACGTGTTCCTGCAGCTGGAACGTGTTCATGAAGGGCGCCCCGCAGTCGGAGCAGTTGATGTTGCTGGCGCGCTTGTGGGTGATGCGCTTGTGCTTCTCCATCAGACCCTCGGTCTTGAAACGGATGGGGCACTCGTCGCAAGCGAAGGGCTTTTGACTATCGTGGATCTTGATGTGAGAGATGAGACTGCTCTTCAGAGCGAAGCGCTGGCCACAGTCGTCGCAGCGGAAGGCGCCCTCGGTGTGGGTCTTCTCGTGGAGCTCGAGCTGGGCGCGCGTCACAAACTCGGCCTGGCACTGCTTGCACTCGAAGCGCTCTGCGTGAGTGTGTAGGTGCTCCAGGAGGTGGTAGTTGGTGGCGAACACTTTGGGGCAGAACTCACAGCGTAGGTGTTCGTCGTCGATGTCATGGGTAACCAGGTGGGTCTCCATCTCGGACTGGGAGGCGAACGTGAGGTCGCACTTCTTGCACTTGATGTCGCGAGGGTGGTGGCGCTGCATGTGCTGCGCGCGCTCCTTGCGCGTGTCGAACTGCGCAGGGCACTCGTCGCAGGGGAAGTCCTTGTCCTGGTGGTCTTTGGCGTGCACAAGCAGGTCGAAGGTGGACGTGAACTTCTGCTCGCAGGCTCGCAGTACTCGCACTCGTAGCCCTGGTCACCACCGTTCTGGGGCGGCGGCGGAGGCGGCTCCTTGGGGTGGGTTGCCTTCTTGTGAGCTCTAAGTTCCTCTTTGCTGTTGAAGCTCTCCGGGCATTCCGAGCACAGGAACGCATTGATGGTCTTGTTGTGTGTGCGGACGTGAATCTTGAGGCCGTGCAGAGTGTTGAAGACGGATATGCAGTAGGGGCACTTTGTCACGGGTGCAGCGGCCCCGTGCCCCTTTGCGCCTGCCAGTTAGGCAACCAAACACCCACCAGCCTCGCGCTGCCTCTCGCCCCCTCCTCCAGCCGTCCCCAGCAGCCGACTCTTCGGGCAGCCAAGCCAAGTTCCCCCCACCTCTCCGCCTCTCACCTGACGACAGCCGCCGGCCGGTCCACCGCTCGCTTCCCTCGTCAG